CCAACCATCCTAAAAAGAGTTTCCTACACAAATTCATACTTCTTGTAACACATTGCAATTAAAAGAATCAAGTTCATGTACAAACAGAACTCAATATTGTTCCTTTATGGTACATGGTCAATTGTTTCACAAGCAACATGGTCAAAAGTAAATCGTGTTTCTGGATGCCCTACCCATGTCAGGCATTGCGCACTTTCTTGTTTTAAGCACCTGTTGTAACCTTGAGCACTAAGCTCCATGTTGTTGAGTGGACGAATTTGTATCAAAACCTAAAAAAGGAAACCCCATAAGCTAAACCTTTTGAAGTTGAATAAGTGTGGAATTAGTACAAATGTTATGTAAAAAAGTGAACTTACTTGTACATTATGATCCATCCAGAATGATGGATCTTCTTTGAGGTCAATATGTGGTACTTCCACAATATTTACAATAGCGTAGGTGTTCTGAAGTCCTCTAGATAAGGTTGCAAAGCTTCCATTGATGTGCACACCTCCACTGATAGGAGGCCTTGAACTACCACCCTGAGACAGTCCTGGATTTGGAGGTTTATTCACACTCTTTGTAGGTGTATTCTGTGTAGAATTAGACTGTGTATTCTAGGTAGAATTACACTCGGAATAACCTCAACTTAAGGCTATTCCAATTGTTCTGCATGACCTAGGAGTGTTTGTATTCATGTTCATATTCATAGTCCCGTTTTTCCCCTCGGTCCTTGAATCCGAACCACATCCATATCTATTCCTAGCTAGACCTCCTTGTTTTTCTAGCGTTTTCATTGGCATCCCCGATTCTGAATGCTTACTGGCATTGACCTTCATGGGCGTTCTATCCATTCGAGCTATTAAATCCCAATTCCTGAAAGTGCACCCATTAGTCGAACTATTAAATTTATTATCCAGAAGCAATATGAATATGAAAAATTAACTATAGCATATACCAACAACACTATTGAAAAGATACCAGTCAAAAGCTTGCCAATATTGAGACAATACCTTGTAAGAAGAAAGTTTAAGTTGTGCAGGTGTGAGACTACCACTGTTTGTCGGTCACCATCAAATCCTCTTTTTCTGTCCTGCTTTTATGAGCAATGCACATGTTTCAGAGTTCCCTTTGATTGCAAAGCCCAATGAGAAATTGTACAAGCTAAAATAAAAGGCGAGATTGGTTTTTTCAAAACTTTGGCGTGTCTTGGTGTTGATCATGATTGTAGTCTGCGCGGGTCCAGGGTGTGTTTTTTTTCTAGGGTGTACAAATATTAGGATTACGGCTGCATTCTTGGCTCCTTTTTGATGAGTTTTTTTTATTTCGTGTGGTTATAAAAGGGGGTGGGGGTAAAAGCTCTGGGTATGTGTTTCTTTTCACTGTGTTACCTGATATAATGTGCACTTCACATGGTAGACATCTGTTAGGAAGATAGATTCAATGTACTACCCTTCTTTTTTGGGTATTTTTTTTACTTTTGGTGGCAAATCGGGAAGACGAGGGGTTATATATCTCGGTGTAAGTTTTTTTTGTTATGCGGTCATGGTTCATAAAAACCATGCCTATTTAACTTGACATCAAAAGCTTAATGCCATGAGACCTACAAATTAAGAAAAGAAAATTGAATATTTGACTATATAATATATTGCATATGTAAACTTAGAGCACACTAATTACACCATTGCAATAAAATATGACAAGAGGGACAGAAAGAGAAACGATGACAACTTTTAAATGGAAGGGAATTCCTTGATAATGAGATCAACTGACTGGGCATGTACTCCCACATGCTACATTTAGTACTTTCAAACCCCTGCATATATTCAAATAGAATAAGCTGATTGGAGGAGGGAGAAGAGTGCACTTGTAAAAAACATATTATAAGTGTGTTTTCCTATGGTTAAGTTACCTCCATTTCTTCTGTATTGCCAAAATTTAAGCAACTTCACCACCAAACATGCTAGCTGAACCTCGCTTTCCGAACTTTCAATCGCCATATCTTGTCCCCTGCTACCTCCTAAGAAATTTAAATAAGTCTGAACAATTTCCAACTAACAAAAATTCATAATTTGAATATTTAGAGAAAACGACAAACATAAGCTTTGGAAATTACAATAATTTCAAGAATATAGTAAAGATAATTGAAAAAACATGGTGAATGTGGTGGTAATTTAGTGATCGACAATTCATTCATCAGTTAATAGCACGAATGTGATGGTTTTCAACTGAAATGGATATATAATAAAGCAAATTAGGTCTCAACATTAAAACCATACAATGAAATATATAGAAACATAATTCGAATTCATAATATAATAAGAAAAACAATACCATTAACTTCTCTTGTAAGCAACATTTGTTTCATTACCATCTGAAAAATCATAGAGAAGAAAATGCAATCTGAAATCATCGATAAATTCGACCTAACATTTTATAAAATCTGGAATAGATTAAATACGTAAAATTTGATAAGGTGGGCCAGAATGTCAGATTGCTTGAACCTGATTCAAAGTCAGATGATGTACTTAAATTTATACCTGAGTGGTCCATCGGCAAGAGTTTTTATGTCGAGGTCTATCTGCGTTTTGTGTTGTAGATTATGGTGATAGAGGTGGTAAAAGGTAATGTAATGGTAGTGGACAGTGGTGAGAGGTATTTAGAGATAAGGAATAGAATGAAGCAGGTAATTGACAGAGTAGGTGTTTGAAGGTGGCATTTAGGGTTTCTCTTGGAGGGAGGAAGAGAGATGGAGGAAGGCTGTAAATGAGTATGGAGATGAAGACGATGCAGAAGTTCAACAAAAAGACGCTAGATATAGGGAGATTGGCCAGAATCCAAGTATATTTGCCAATTTCTCGGATTCAGCATACTTTATCGGGTCAAAAGGCATTCTATTCCAGCTTTCAAAAAAATTTGAATCGAAACGCTTAGCTTTTGACTTTTCGACTATTGACTAAATTTTAATGCATAAATGGATTGTACATATTGCATAAGGTCTTGTACCTCTTAAAATTCAGCAAAACATGCTAAATACTTATTAAGGTATATATATATATATATACATATATATATATATATATATATATATATATATATTAAAGAACTTAAAAGTTAGGAATACTAAACCTCAATGTCTTTTGTCAATTTTGCCCCTTATTCTTTAGCCATTTTGACACTTTTGGTCCTTGCAATCAAAACTTTTATATTTTTTAGGAACATTTTAATATTCAAAGTTTGACCACAAAACTTTAAGGAATTGACAAATTTTGTCCATTTTCTAAAAACTTGCTAATTCCAACCCTTTTAATTCTTTAGCAATTTTGACACTTTTGGTCCTTGCAGTCAAAACTTGTACATTTTCTCATAAAAAACACAAAAAACGGCCCAAGACTTTCTGCCGTCTGTCATTTTCTTGTTTTGGTATATATTTTTTTTATACTGATCCTCATATTTTTTTTTTGTTTTTTCATGCTTTCTATCTATCCGTCTCTGTCTATGAAACTTAGGGGTCGAATTATCCCACCTGCATCTTTTAACAAAAACGATACTCAAATCAGACACACACGACCCATACGGAGCATGAACACCATATCTAGTTAAGATTGTTAAGTTTAATAAGAGCCGAAGCCCGAAGGTACACTAGAAGAAAAACATGACAGTGAATTAGAAAAAAATAATATAAAAAATCCTTTCACCACTAATCCTTTTATTAAATAATATATTTAGTAATACCTAGAAGATTAAGTAACATAAATTGATATCTATATAATATAGTCTTATTAAAGAAAAATAAATAATTAATTTCAACATTTGCGTACATAATTTAAGATTTGAAACATGTAGAAAACTTAATACACAATTAATGATGTTGATATAATTTGATGAGTGGGTTTATAATAATAATAATAATAATAATAATAATAATAATAATAATAACACCAATAACATGATTATAAGTCCTTTTTTTTTGTGTGTGACTTGTATATCGATTTAGTATAAAAACAAGCAAAATTGAAAACACATATTATAATGAATAAATTTAATAAAATATGTTGTTATAAACTTATAATAAGACTGAAATTAAAATACATTGCCATCTTGCAAAAATCCTCCATAATAAATAAAGAACTTTTTGTCACATGTCACATTTTTATTTATTTTGCCACATGAAATTTTGTGGTTATTTTAAATTAATTTTAATTCCACATGTCATTTTATGGTTTTTTTTCATTTTATTAAATTCTAGATAATATTTAATAATTACATATCAATTTCATTAATGAACTTTATTCTAACTTCAAAATTACTAAATTAAATATTTAATAATTTTCTTTATTTTTTTATCTAAATTATTTGTTTAAATTTAAAAAGAAAAAAAAAAACAATTTAGTTTTTATAATTCAATATTTTCTTATTTTTCTTATAAACTCAAACTTCTCAAATGTTTAGAATTTTGTATTTAGTTTTATTTTTTAACAAACTCATATAATACATGAGTCTAGAGGTGTAAATTACTAAATCATCACTATTAATGAATATGTTTATTCTTCTATTGACAAGTGTCATACTATTAAAACTCTTCATTAATATTATATGTCACATATCATGTCATTTGTCAATCTATTATTATCAATTTCAAATTTCCATTCTAATTACATTAAATTAATAATTGATTTTCCATTTTAAATTTTAAATTTTAAATTTTAATTTTTTTTCACTCTAGTTATATTACATTAGTAACATTAGATTAAAAATAAAATTAAATTAATACAGATTATAAGGTGATATAAATTCACATATTTATTTAAATCAATGATTATAATTTGATATAACTAAAAAAATATACCGTAAGTAATAACTTATTTAAAATTATTGATTAATAATTTTGATTTTTTAATATGAAAGTTTAATTAATTTTATAATATAGTTTCAATAGTTATAATAACTTGTTAGAAAATAAATCAACAGTGTTATATTACTGTTTAGCTTTCACTGGACTATGGATATTACTGTTTAGCTTTCACTGGACCATGGGGGATTTATTATTGCTAAATTGAGAAGCTCGTATATCCGAACCCTAGTGGATGATCTGAAGCCAACAAGTTACAAGCCCTACCAATAGCAATGTCTCATGGCGAGGGTCGTGATTCCGATTCCAGACACCATCGTTCTCGGTTCGATCGAGAACCTAGGTAATTATATCATAGTATTTGTATCTCTTGTAGTTTCGTTATCAGTGTCTATAAGTACAAGAAGTAGATGCTTCGATTGATCTCTTTACTGTATGCCCCATCATCGAATGATTAGATGCGAATCAAATCTAACCTTTCATGAATCCGATTCTCTGTTGATTTGATTATTGTAACCAATTATTGCCTCTTAGGCTATGAGACGTGTTCCTAATGTTTTTGGGTTCTGAAGAAGATGAATCAATTTTAATTTTGTGGTGAATCGCAATGTTATTCCGATGATTAATTTGTTGGTCTGGGGTTCGGTGATTTTTGGATACATTGATCATGAATCTCTAATTTCAAATTTTAAGTCAACAATGTTTTTCTTGGATCACTTCATGTACAGTTAAATGCTTGAGGTCAACATCAACAATCCATCTTGTTTTCCTTTTGTAAATTGGTGATTTTGCTGCTGTTTGATGCAGTCCTAAAAGAGTTAGGAGGGATGGAAGAACAGCAACAGAGCAACCAGCCATTAACCATAATCTGGATTCTTCAGAACATACTAACCGAGATAAAAAACGCCCAGTAGTAACTGATTCAAAGATACAAAATGTATCCTCGATCAAAGAATCTGACAAGAAAAGTAACGGATGCCATGAAGGAACAAAAATTTCTTCTGAAAATATCGAATCATCTCGATCTCGATCTCACTTTCAGGTTTTTGAATCCTTCAATCTCACATTGCTGTGTCTTTTTACTCTACTACCCCTGTGGAAAACTAGGTTTCACTAATGGGCTTGTCTTATAACAGCATGATGAGCGTGGTCGTAGCTTTAGACACAGGGATACTCATACTACAGGTTGGTTTTTTCGTAATTATGTACCCTTTCTTGTTTTCATGGGACACCCAAAATTCCAAATCATGTAATTTTTGTAAATCTCTCTGTTTAGAGCGTGGGGGGTGGAAAGATTCAAAGGATCGTGAGAGTGGAAGGGCTACAAACAGAAGCTCAAACAATGGTTCGGATATAAAGAAGAAAAGGCCATCTTTTCGTGAGACGAAAATACCCCTGGATGCTGTAACTCATGATAAACCAGCAACACAAATTTCAAAGCCATTAGAAGGAAGTGAAAGGAAGGAAGATGGAGGAAAGCCGGTGGTTGAGCGGCCTGACAGGCGGTTGTCAGGGGAGAGGGACCCACAGAGGATGAAGTTTCAATCAAGAGATAGGTATGGTGGTGGTGGTGGGTACAGGGGAAGGGGGGATAGGTTAGGTGGTGGTGGTGGTGGTGGAGCTGAGAAGTGGAAGCATGATCTTTATGATGAAGCGAATAAGAGTCCGATTTCAAAGAATGAAGAGGATCAGATTGCAAAAGTTGAAGCCCTTCTTGCTTCATAGCCATGTTTTTTTTTGTTTCTTTTGTTTTTGTTCATATGATTTCATGGGACATTATAGTTTTTCTCAAATGTCAAGTGATGATCCTAGAATGGGTCAAGGCTGTAGTTTGTGGTTGGTTTAGGATGTCATTCACTGTTTTGTTATTGTTTTTCACGTGAGTATGCATTTAAGAATAATATCAAGTGATTTTTGATTAAAGATTTGAAGTTACTAATGCTTTTCTTAAGTGTTGTTTTGGATAAAATGTAGTGTTTTGAGAAAAATAAAATGGGATGAGTTTGTAAAAAAGTTACTACCTAATGACGCAAATCTTATTCGTTGACTTTCTATATTAGTAAACAAAAAAAAGGGGGACAAACGAATTACACTTTGACCAAAAACCGTTTATTTTATGATCGATGTACATCTTTTGTATTTAATACTAGAATCAAACCATATTAATTATACAGAATTACTGATTACAAACAATTAAAGAATCCTTTTCTTGGAATTGTATTTTCATCAAGCTGGTAGCATCGATCTCCTTAATTGTTCTTGACCTTGGAAGCATGAAATGTGTTTGGAGTTGAATAGGACGTGGAAATATCTTTCTTGAAATTCATTGATTGGGACACATAATCAGAACCTGATGATATCTGCTGCAAGTACTCAGCCGTGGGTGGCTGAAACTCTGACCTAGTCCGGCGGTGGGAGGAGCCCTCCACCACAGCCCCGTCCAGGAGGTGGCGGCGGCAGGTGGAACCGGTGGAGAGGGAGCGGTAGCTGTTGTGAAGGCTGTGGTTCTTCACTGCGTGCATCAGAAATGGTATCAATCCTTCCATTTTTTTGCTAAAGTTTTGATGGTTTGTATCGATGGTAAGTTAATGTTTGATATTTTGTGGATGTGAATTCGATGAGTGTTTTCGGAGGGTTATATATATATGGAAAGGGGGTGGAACATAGGTTTGACTTTTTAGATTTAGAAGTTTGACTTTGTATATATTGTGGATAGTGGATAGGATAGGATGTTTCTGAACAGAACAAGTTATTGACTTTGGAATACTGTAAGAATGGCGTCTACGGGTCTATTTTCGTATCTAAATCATATCGTTTAACTCGTTTATTGTGAATACATTTTTTTTTTTAAATTTAAATTGTAGTTTATCTATAAATATATTATTTGGTTAATAAACAAAATATGATTGTACGGGTTCTTGTTGCTCTAAATTAGTTTGTCATTCAAAATTTTAGTTTTATAATGTTTAATAGAAGAAAGTGTTTAGCGACTTAATTCCAGCCTAAAGAATGAAATTAAGAAGATTATCAGGTCATATAACAGTCTCGACAGGCCGAATGTTTTAATGAATATCCTGTAACGGTTGGTCTGACCTTCAAACTTGAAATCCTTCAACTAGGGCTTCAAATTAAGTACATTTTGTATTTATTTAGTTTTTGGTTTAGTAAGTAAATTATTTTGTGATTTGTGTTAATTATATAATAGTTTAAGCAATAATTATCTATGTGTTGGTTTTCAAAATTTGGGAAATATGGTTATTCCTACCAAAAAGAAAACGTACACTCCATGTAAGTTTGAGGCATTGAATGTACATTGCCTTGGTTCTGTATCAAACTTTAAAATATATTTTTATCATCTCTGTCCAAAAAAAATTCACTATGGAGAAGAAATTTTTAAATTTGTTAATTAAAAAAAACACAAAGAAATAAAGTTTTGTCTTTTTATTTTCTTGAACACCCTTTTTAAATAAAATTTCCGTTTGATTCGGGTAGGGTGGAATGTAAAAGAGGATGGTAGTGTGCAAGCGTCAAGCCGTCAACCACAAATATCAATACGCGGAAGGGTCTTTTAGTAATTTCATAAGTAATGGTCCACAGGTTGGGGGAGAATCAGGAGATCAGCCATATTTTATTTTTTTTATATTTTTTTAAACAAACAAGCCAAAATCAAGTGGCTTTTATTTTTGACACTTTAAAATTCAAATGTCAAACATAATCAGACAAATTCCCGTGGGCTAGATGAGCCTAGATACTGATAACTTCATTTTATTTTTTAATGTTTAATGAAATTAATGTTTGCTCATTATTTTTCTGTGGCCCCACAGGAAAAAAACTTATTTTTATATATTACAAAATTGTTCTTAA